GTTCATGGGGTCGCAAAGAGTCAGACACGACTGAGCGACTGAACTGAACTGAATATGAAGAAAGAATCTATACACTTATCACAAAGTTTTATGGTGAAAGATTTCTGTTTCTAGGTTTTATAAAAGGTAGGGGAGAGACTACTGCTCTTGCAATAACAATTAGGAAAAAACAGATTTCAAATACCATATATTTTTTTAAAAGGCATAGGAGGAAATTCCCTGGTGATCCAGTGGTTAGGATTCTGTACTCTCATTGCTGAGGACCTGGGTTCTGTCTCTGGTCAAGGAACTAAAATCCCACAAGCCATGTGGTGTGGCCAGAAAAGAAAGAAAGAAAAAAGGCATAAGAGAATTGTGAGCACAGAGAGTTGTTCTAAAGGGTTTAAATCTCAGAAAGAGTAGAGCCTTTCCTTTCCTTTCCGAGGTAAGTGGATACCAGTGGCCATTTTTATTCCTAGGGGCACCTGCCAAGTGTGGGAATGGGCCCAGGACTGAGCTTGCCAGAGACGAAGGTACTCTGCTTGAGGAAAGAGAAAGCAGAAGAGCTTTTCATGGCCCAATAAGACTGATTTGGAGGAGCCTGAAAGTATATCTGGTTTTCCTCTGTGGGACTTTTGCTGGGTTCCAGTGTAGTGCAGAAGGCCAGGCTGGAAAGACATATGAAATCACCCATAGGCATTGCCCTATGGAAGAATGTCTCATTAAAGCAGGGAGCCTGTGGTTCTTTCCATCAACAAATTTGAAACCCAAGATGAGCTAATAAGTCTATCTAAAGCTGCAATCCTGGCCAACCTAGCTCAGGTACTGACTGAATTGAAGTGATAATCCAACAGCATAAGAGAAAAGAGCATGCTTCCTCTGCAGGGGAGGTCACAAGCGAGCTGTGAAGATCATCTATCTTTTAAGTAAGAGGTGGCCTAAAAATACTGCACCCCATTACTTTTACTGTTGTGATTAAAAACTGGACTCTGGAGTCCAACAACCTGGGTTTACATCACAGCTTCGCTGTTCCCAAGTTAACTATTCTGAGCCTCAATTTCCTCTTATATCATTCAGTATAATAACATCTATTTAAAGGGTTATTAACATTAAAGGAGATAATATATGTAAAGAATTATTGCAGTTCCTGACATATGGTAAAATTCACACTCATATCTCAGCGCCTGGATTTTGAGGAATTTCTAGTAACAACAACAAAAATAGCCCACCTTCTACATCATTCTCTGAACTTGTTTCACTGAAACTTTTCCACCGTTCCTTTGCTCTTGAGAGGAAGATTTCATAAAGTTCTGGGGAAAGACAAGAATAAAAATTCATAAATAATAACAGAAATTTATCCACATATTTCTATTTTAACTCTTAAAAATAAAGATAAAAATCTTACTATATTGTCAGATTTCTCTTATGTGGCAGGTATCAAAAACATGGTAAACGGAAGTACTTGATTCTACCAAAACTATTCAATACACAACCAGAAAGACAAAATACTGCAGAAAGGTCATCCAAATAGCTACAATAAAGAAAGAATGTTAAGAGGCTGGAAAAGATGCTTCTGCTAAAGGAGTATCACTGTGGAATAGCAGAAACATGATTTTCTTAGAGTCAGTCAGACCTAGATTCAAATTCCAGCTCTGCCACTTACGACCTGTGAGACTTCAAGAAAGGTACTTGATCACTGTGGAACTAGGCTGTCTTCGTCGGTAAATTGGAGAAAAGTAACACCCACTCATGGGGTTGTGTATGTGTGCTCCAACGCTTCAGTTGTGTCTGACGCTGCGACCCCATGGACCACAGCCAATCAGGCTCCTCTGTCCATGGGATTTTCCTGGCAAGAATACTGCAGTGGGTTGCCATGCTCTCCTCCAGGGATCTTCCCCACTCAGGGATCAAATCTGAGTCTCCTGAGTCTCCTGCATTGCAGGTGGGTTCTTCACCTGCTAAGCCATCCAGAAAGCCCATGATTAAGTAAGATAATTTACATTAAACTCCTAACACCATATAGATCCTTAATAAATAGCAAGAATCCTGGTTCTTGCTTACCTTCTCTTAAAATTGTTTTCTCTATTATGATATTGCTATGATATGATATCTCTATTATGACATTATGATAAGGCTAACCAAACTATTCAAAGCTACCAAACTTCACAGATTTTGCCAGAAGGCCTACATACAAAAATCTCAACCCCCGTGTTTTTACTTCAATTGCCCAATCACTTTTTGAGACTATTACTCTGTGCTTTCATATACAGGATTGTCATTAAAATTTCAAGAACAAAAGAAATTGAAAATTTTTCTCAATTCTCAAATTTTAATTGTTTCTACTTTCTAACCACTACAAATATTTTAAAATTTACATAAAAATAGTAAATTTCAATGACAAAACAGCAGAAAGTATTTCATGCCCAAATATCAAAATTTATATAATACTGCCCAATATACCAAGAACATATTTTGCTTCAATTAATATTTTTTTAATGTACTTACTACTTATAGTTTGGAAAGAAGAAATTTTAAAAGAAGGAAAAACTTAAAATTTCTATTATTTGTGCCACACTCCATCAGTGGGCACAAGTCTTCATATAAGATGTAGATATAACCTTAAAATTTAGACATAATTTTTTTGCAGTTATCAAACTAACTTGCACTTTTCTGATTTCAAACTAATTCCAAGCTAAGTCTGAAAGTTTCACTATTCTTCTCAAATGTCAAAACTGTCCTGGAAGAAGAGAGGCTTGCCAAATAACTACATCACCTTTGGAAGTCACAAAATTAACCCAATAATAAAAATGTAGCACTGCATTTCCAAACATCAAAGGATATCTCTCCCAGGAAGAGTTATAGTGCTTATCTATAATAAGATGACTTGCATCTCAGTTCGATTCCATGTTTGACTGTGCATGTCACACATTTTATTCTGTATCTACAAGTGTAGAGCTTGAAGCAGACTTAAAGAGGTATCTTGGACTTGAACAGAGAATACTTTGAAATCAGTGTACGTTTCACTTTCTGATTTTCTGACAATAATGATACCGTATACACTCTCAGTAAATTTTATTTTCACTATAATTTTATATTTATCATCACAAATAACTGTTAGAACACTCCTTTGAGATAGCTAGTTATCTCGTCCCCACTTAAAGAAAACTAAGACCTCTAGATGTTAAGTAATTTGCCCAAAGTCACAAACCTAATATATAGTGGAACTAAGATTTGAACTACATGTGACCGACTTTAGAACCTCTATTCAGAGTTACTATTCTCTAATGGTTATAGATTTCATGATTAAAACAAATACAACAAGAAAAAAAGTCAAACTATTAGAGCCCCGGAAACTAAACAAAGTTATCAAAAGTAAATTTACTTCCATTGAAATTTAGCTTTCTTACCACCACTAACAAAAAAAAGGAGAATGAGTACCTCCAAAATCACTGCAGATGGTGACTGCAGCCATGAAATTAAAAAACACTCCTTGGAAGAAAAGCTATGACCAACCTAGACAGCATATTAAAAAGCAGAGACATTACTTTACCAACAAAGGTCCATCTAGTCAAAGCTATGGTTTTCCCAGTAGTCCTGTATGGATGTGAGAGTTGGGACTATAAAGAAAGCTGAGTGCCAAAGAATTGATGCTTTTGAACTGTGGTGTTGGAGAAGACTCTTGAGAGTCCCTTGGACTGCAAGGAGATCCACCCAGTCCATCCTAAAGGAAATAAGCCCTGAATATTCATTGGAAGGACTGATGCTGAAGTTGAAATTCCAATACTTTGGCCACCTGATGGGAAGAAATGACTCATCTGAAAAGACCCTGATGCTGGGAAAGATTGAAAGTGGGAGGAGAAGGGGACAGTAGAGGATGAGATGGTTGGACGGCATCACCAACTCAATGGACATGAGTTTGAGTAAGTTCCAGGAGGGGAAGCCTCCTGGACAGGGAAGCCTGATGTGCTGCAGTCCATGGGGTCGCAAAGAGTCAGACATGACTGATCAACTGAACTGAATCTCATTCACTCCTGAATACATAACTGTTTAATAGAAAGAAGCTAAAATTACTTTGAAAATTAATGACCCAGTTACTTTATAAGCCTTGTAAATTTTGAGCTTAAAAAAAAAACTTTTTGATTAGAGTAGTGCAAAAGATTAACACCAACTTAATCAATATTTTAATGTCTAAGTTATATATACCTAATACTGTAAAGCTAAAGTTCTCAACAAAACTGCAAATAAAACATAGCCACCAATACTTCATCATCTTACCTGTATGCAAACTGATTCTTAAAACTTTAAACCAATACAATACTTTGCTAAGCTTAATTTAATTCTCAATACTTCCCTTAAATTCTATTTTTAATTGGAAAAAAAGTCATTAAAATGACGTTTATTATAGGATATCTGTGAAAATCAATTTTATAAACCATATATGATCATGTTACTCAAAGTTGGCATCACTTTTTTTTTTTGCTATGTTTTCTTAGCCAGATTTATTTTAACACAATGGGCTATATTTCTACAGTTAAGATTCACTACTTGTCATGTTTTAAGAAATCAAATAAACACAATTCAATTAGGTATGGGTTTTTCAATACTTCCATAAAGGCAGAAGGGAGAAGCATATAAATTAATTCATTAAAGATAGTCTTTGAAAAGCATATTTTACAATACATTATCTCATGAATTGATCAATTTCTCACCACGAGAAATTATGAAAAGCCTGATTAATTCCAGAGTTTGCATATTTTCACAACTAATCACAGTGCTTTTATTGTACAAAATATGTGTATTTTTTTGTAATCCTATTTACCAATCTAGGCTGTTACAGAAGGATCTTATCCCATGCTGTCATAAAGATGTTCTTCAGAGTTTTTGATAAAAAAAAAAAAAAAATTTTTTTGGCATCACTTTTAAGACTGAAGACAGACATTTAGGTCTTTGTTATAAATTCTGCAAAACTCCTGGAGAAGACTCTTGAAGGTCCCTTGGACTGCAAGGAGATCAAAGCAATCAATTCTACAGAAAATCGACCCTAAATATTCATTGCAAGGACTGATGCTGAAGTTGAAGCTCCAGTACTTTGGCCACCTGATGCAAAGAGCCGACTCATTGGAAAAGACCCTGATGCTGGGAAAGACTGAAGACAAAAGGAGAAGGGTGGCAGAGGATGAGATGGTTGGATAGTACACTGACTCAATGGACATGAATTTGAGCAAACTCCAGGATAGTGGAGGACTGAGGAGACTGGTGTGCTATAGTTGATGAGGTCGCAAAGAATCGAACATGACTTCATGACTAAACAACAACTATATATAATGCTGACTGCTGTAATGAATATCCTTGTAGAAAAGCTTTTGTAATTCTGTTTATTTACTTAAAGTGTTAGAACTAGAATAAATGGGTTAGAGGTTACATTTTTTGAAGCTTTTGTAAATATTTCTAAATTATTTTCCTCTATGTGGGTAATATTCATTCATTTTACTCACTTTTGAGGAGTAAAAAAACAGCACCTTGATATTGTTTTGACACAAATGTCTCTGATTTAGCAATCACTAGGAAAATAGTTAAATAAGTTATAGTACAGCCAAACCATGAAATACATTGCAGCTATAGTAAGTATAAATACACCTGTTTGTGCTGACATGGAGGGATGTTCAGATGGTTTTTGGAAAAAAAATAAAGAAAATGAGAAGGCTTAAAAAGTATCATAAGTAGATGTACCCTTTTTTATGTGCATAGAAAAAAGATCTGAAAGAACATATACCAAATTGTTAACTAATACATAGTAGGATTAAGAGAAGATGTTTGGGTGAAAGAGGGGGACAGACATGCAGTTTGTACTTTACTATTGAATTTTTTTCAATAATATGTAAATAAAAATTTTAAGTAACAATATATTATTTATATTATTATACTAGAATCCCTAAAAGTCTTTTTGTGGTGCCTCTGTCTGGCATTATCATCATCATTCAGACCATTTTTAATATTATTATTTTACTCTATGTGATACTATCTTTATTTTATTTAATTTTTTTAGTTCATCAAAATTACACTACATTTTATTCCTATCTACATTTTACTCCTATGCTTCAAGGTTTTAAGAAACTTAAAAAAATAAAAGCAATGAGAATCTTACTTCTGTTTTTTTCAAGTTTTTAAATAAAAACATTCAAAACGACTGGTTTGTGTAGAGACAGGAAAAGAAATGTCTATCCTTCCCATAATATTTTTTTTTAATAAAGAGGAAACTTGTCCACAACTAGACTATTTTATTTTTCCTTGTATATCTTTATTCATCTACTGCTATGTACACCCAGAAGTTCTTGAAGTTATTATCCACAGTTTAATTTGGATGTCAAGATTATTATTGATGGTTGTAAACTAAAGGAAAACACACAAATTTTATATACATAATATGAAATACAGTAACCTATTAAATTGTATCAGGTTTTAGAGGGTGTGGGGAATGAAGTATGCTCTTAAAATGATATATATGGTACTGCCTTTTTAAATAACCAATCTATTAATCTGTTTTGTATCTCTGAAGATGGCTATTAACATGTGTGGGAGTAACTGAATATAGAATACAAACCAGGAGTGATATTTAGTTCATTTCCTACAGCTAGACTCCAAACTTTCCCACGAACACTAGGGGGCAATCCCTGCCACCACAATTCTCGAACTCTTCTCGTACTACGCCTAGAATTGAAGGGGGAGAAAAAAGGAGAAAGTTACTTTTTATACCAAAAATACTAGTTCCATGATGGTTTACCTAGTCTACGGCCAAATGACTGAATGGTTTTTTAGAACATGGAGACTTAAGTATGTGATGCATTCTTTCCTTGGGTTCATGCATGTAGGTAAAAAATGCCTAAAAAATATACAGCAATTTAAAGGGAATTGTCTTCCATAACTGCCACTTACACTAAGAGTACAATGAGAGAATAAGAAATATAGGAAAATTATGAAAAATCATCATAAAAAGAATATAAAAATGCATTGTCAATACAGTACCAAAAACAAAATCACGAAGTATTTACTACGGGTAAAGCTTTAGTCATTGGGAGGCAGCACAGTCTACTGAAAGAAGTGTGGGCTTTAAAATCAGATAGACTTGAGTTCAAATCTAGTTAACCATTCATTAATTGTACAACCTTGGGCAAATCACTTAACCTCTCTGACTTTGAGAATCCCTATAAGATAAAAGGGAATAAAGGTTGTGAGAATCAAATGTGATTACTTGTGTAAAGAGCCTAATATAATATCTATCACATTATGCCAATATTCAATACATTCCCAAAGCACATCCTATACTTGGCATTGCAGAAATCATCTCCCACCAGTCCAGAGGAAAAATAATGCATGTATAAAAATATTATCAAAAAATAAAAGGCAAAGTAACGCAAGAAGTGTATTAGTCTCAAAGTATAATGGGACATTACAGAAGGGAAAGATCATATATAACATATTATCTTGATTATGAGAAGCATATTAAAATCACTTTAATATTTACCATTTAATAAATGCATATTACAATGAATGTATATGTTTAATATTTTCTTTGCCAAAAATCCTATTACATCAACAGTACATGTAGCAATATAGATAGTACATTATAATTAAGAAAATAAGGTAACAGGAAATTAGAAATTTCATGGATCAACAAGTATTCAGATACAATTCAAATGATAGATAAAATTCTGATATGCATAGAGGGTGGTCAGTAAGGGAAGCAGGCATTAGAGATTGAGGGATTTACAAAAGCAAAGAGCAGATATAAGCATGAAAATTTTCAAACTCTGGTTAACAGTATAATTTAGCCGAAACATATAATACATGCTAGAAGTCATCAAAATATAAAATTGGAAACATGAGATCTTTGGAGACAGACTGAAATTCAGGAAAAGTCTGCTTACTTACATTACTTCCCAATTGGGTAGTATTTCATTGATCCAAATTACCATTGCACTTGCAATACTTTCTTCCTGTTTAAACCTTTCTTTCATTATTTTTTTCCTTTTATGTGCTTCTTTAATTTCTGTTTTAAACAAGTAAAAATTATTTCAACATAAAACAGCCAAATCAAAATGCCCTTCTCTTTCTACCGAAGTCTACAAAAGAGACCTTCACATAAAGAATACTCTGGTAAAAGGAAGGAAGAATGGAAATGAAGAAGGGAAGAAAGGAAAAAGGAGAAAGAGGAAAGGAGGGAAAGAGGGAAAAAGAGAAAAACATGAACTTGATTAACATAAGTTAAAAATAGCTTCTTCTACAAAAATGGATGGAACAAAGCTCAAAAAAAAATAATTTAAATAGATTACTATATCACATAGTCTACTTATACTTAATCAATGAAGTAAAATTTCTCATGAATTAACTATGTAAAAATAAACAACTGTGAGCAACTAACCAATACCATTTTTTCATACAACGGGTTTATGAATTTCTTCACATAAAACAACATGACAGCGACTTCCCTGTTGATTCAGTGGTTAAGACTCTGAACTTCCAATGCACAAGGTGTGGGTTTGATCCCCAGTCAGGGAACTGAGATCTCACTTGCCATGTGGCACAGAAAACAAAAATAAAAACCCACATGACATTGAAAAATGATATTGCCATGGCACTATTACAGTGACCCTTTCTTTTACTATGATGTTTCAGTTTACTAATTACATGGAAATTTTAAAATCCTCCTAACACACATACATACACCTAATACCACTCTGAAGATCCGGAGTCACAATTTTGGAATAAGAGATGCCCCCCAAATAGAGAAGTACATACACGAAGAATGAATGAAGTTTAGAACCAGTAGGACTTCAGAGGTTAGCTAGCTAAACTGTTTTCTAATTGTGTTTCACACATGACTCACAAACCATCTTAAGGGGGCAAGTAAATAGCTCCACGTTTTTTTATTTATGTATTCAGATTCTAAGTGTTGACTGAAGGGCATGAAAAACCCAGATGTAGTCAACTGCCCCCTCCTCCACCCTTCTTCCCCAACACACACAAACATTTCACAGATGAGGAAAATTAAGATTTATTTAGAGTATCACATCCAGGAAGCATAAAACAAGATTAAAGCTTTGACCTTTTGACTTCCCAATTCAATGTTACTTCTATCATATCATATGGTTGGTGCTAAGACACTTCAGTCGTGTCCGACTCTGTGTGACCCCATAGACGGAAGCCCACCAGGCTCCCCCATCCCTGGGATTCTCCGGGCAAGAATACTGGAGTGGGTTGCCATTTCCTTCTCCAATGCATGAAAGGGAAAAGGAAAGGGAAGTCGCTCAGTCATGTCCAACTCTTAGCGACCCCATGGACTGCAGCTTACCAGGTTCCTCCATCCATGGGATTTTCCAGGCAAGAGTACTGGAGTGGGGTGCCATTGCCTTCTCCGATCATATTGTTAGGTTCATCTAATTTATCAATAATCATCTTAAACATTAATCAAATAGTAATGTCAATTTTAAGAGTCGATTAAAATTTGTTGGGTATACTAGAAGTATTTTAAATTGTATAGTAAAATAAACGTAACCAATGTTTACATAATTATGCCTTCTAAAAAGATTGTGCCACAAAGCAGAAGTGTATATTATTATAATATTTGATTCACTTAAGTCAAAGGAAAAAATATCAGTTGTTAATAAAGCTTATGCCAAAAAATATAGCCAACTGTGTAATATTTTCTAAAAATGTACCCTGAACTAACAATACTTAGGTAAGTAAGTATTGCTAAATCATCCTTATGTTTTATTTTTGGTTGGAAGAGAAAATGAATAAATATGTGAATTTATACACATAAGAATATACACTTCTGTGCCTGTCAAAATGACATAACTGGGACTTGAGAGAAACTTCATAAGTCATGAAACTTCATAAGTCACTTTTTACTTCCAAATCATATTCCCATAACCTATAGAAAGTTACTGCAAAATGTCAAAATTCTTAAATTATAAAATATCAAAAGCCTAGTGAAAAAACAAATTTCATGAATGGATTCATGAATATATAAATATATATAAAATATATATGTATAATAAATATATAAACCTTCATTTATAAATTAAAGTACTAGTAGTCCCAGGTTTATGATGCAATTATGTCTCTCATAGATAGATAGTCTGCGGCCTTTCTCCTCATACTAGTTTTGTAAAAGTATTTAAAAAAACTATGATTCTTGTATGACATTTTATTTCTCTTTAAACAAATTTAGTCAGCATCATCTTAAAGACAGATTTGGTCAATTTCACCATTTGCCATCCTGTTGAAATGAATTTACTAGGAAATGAATTTCGTACTAACATCAATAAATAAAATATATCACCTGGAGTTAAATTTTATACCTCGTTTTTTAGCCTCAGCCACCATCTCATCATATTCTTGTCGGTGACGTAAAGCCTCTTCCACAGATTTGGCAGGAAGATTTCTGAGGAAAAACAAAATTTAAGTTAATTTTTTAAAGACTAACTTAAGTTTACTGATCTACTTTCTTTATATAGCCAGATACAAAAGAATTTCTAACTTAATTTTCACATTTCATACAATAAAGTATAAGGTCAGAACTCTGCATTTTAGAGAAGAATCAGAATCCAGGTTGCTAATATTTGTTATATATATCAAATATCATATATATTTGTTTATATGTCATTTAAACATGTTTGGTTTTAGCCAATAACTCTAGCTTATTTGTTAAACTCACTATAGTTTATTTTTTAGTCAACTTTTTTGAGGTATAATTTCACCCAACAAAATGGACATACATATTTTAAGACTACTGTTTGATGAGTTTTGACAGATGTATATATCTGTGCAAAAAATGCATCAATCAAGATATAGAATGTTCCCATAAATCCACAGTTAGTTTTTGACCCCTTTACACTTAATACTTACCAAACTCCTACCTTAAGCAATCACATATCTGATTCGATCACTATAGATTAATTAGTCTCTAATAAAGAATTTCGTATAGATTCTTTTGTGCCTGGCTTCTTTTGCTCAGCGTATTTTTGATATTCATCCACTTTGTCCTGTGTATTAGTAATGATTTCTTTTAATTGGTGAGTACTGTTCCATTTACCCATGTGGATGGACATTTAGACTGTTTCCAGTTAGGGGCTACTATGAATAAAAGCTACTATAAATATTCAAGTGTGGCTATCTGCATTCATTTCTCTTGGCAAATAAGTAGGAGTATTTATATGCTTTCCACTTTATTAGAGATTTAACATAACATTCTAAATAAAATTTTGATAATCCATTACTCACTTGCATATATTATATTTTGGTTTATAAAATCAATGGCTTCACAGAGGCATGATTTAGATATATGACTACACAAAATGAAATATATTTGAGTATTACCACATATCCAAATATGTCATAATAATGTCCAGTTTTTAGAACCAGTTTTTTAAATGATTTTCAACAGGCTAGGTGGGGAAAGGTATGTGACAAACTTTCAAATTATATATTCTACTTCTTGCCATCTCAGGTTAAGATTCCTTAGATATGTTGTAGCTGCTGCTGCTGCTAAGTCACTTCAGTCGTGTCTGACTCTGTGCGACCCCACAGACAGCAGCCCACCAGTTTCCCCTGTCCCTGGGATTCTTCAGGCAAGAACACTGGAGTGGGTTGCCATTTCCTTCTCCAATGCGTGAAAGTGAAAAGTGAAAGTGAAGTCGCTCAGTCAGTCCAACTCTTCGCGACCCCATGGACCACAGCCTACCAGGCTCCTCCATCCATTGGATTTTCCAGGCAAGAGTACGGGAGTGGGGTGCCATTGCCTTCTCCTATGTTGTAGCAAGAAGGAATAAAAGTTAAGATTTCTGCTTCAGACCATAATGGAATAAGAGAGATCAGGTTTATCTTCTTGCCTTAATTAATTAGAAAAACAAATAAAATACATTAAACTACAGTTTAAGATGCTGGACCATAGGCAGCACAAGACCATACTCCTTATGAAAAAGGAAACAAGGTAACCCTGCAGATGCCTGACCTTACTCCCTGGAGTTTCCAGGTCTCAGTGCTGGGAGGAAGTGCCAAAACAGGGCCCACCAGTCTTGCTGAGTGAGAAAACTTAGAGTATCAGACAGAATTTGAGTAACTGTGTACCAGAGAGAAGGCAGCTGGGGAGGCTTTGGCTGAACACTGAACTATGTATGTGTGTGATTAAACTATAGTGGCCAGAGAAAGAAACACCAGAAAGAAATAGGTAGAACATTTTCAAAATCACACTGGACTGGGCCATCAAAGTAGAGAGATCTCCTAATAGGGTATTCAATAGAATCCTTAGGGCACTGCCTCAGTAGTAAGGATAAATTATAAATCAGCCTTACACCAACGGCTGTTCTGGAAGCACTCTAACAATGATTAGATCAAAAGGATCAAAGCAATTCCATACCACACCAAAACATATTTATTTAAAGGAATACAAACAAGTCCAATACCCAACCATGTAAAAACACAATATCTGGTATCCAATAAAAATTATCAGGGATGTAAAGAATCAGGAAAATAAAAGCCATATTAAGAAGAAAAATCAATCAGCTGAAATAGGGCAAAAATGTCAGATAACAAGATTAGAACTCAAGGATGATAAACCTGTTATAAACATACTCAAGAAGAAGAAGAAAGTAACATGATAAGAGAAATTCAAGATCCAAATCCAATGTCTACAGATGAAAATTTCTAGAATGATAAATTCAAAAGATAGGACTAACAGAAAATTATATACTACAGAAGAAAAAGTAAGTGAACTTAAAGATGTAGCAATATAAAACTGTACAGAGAGAGAAGAAACGCCACCCCCTCAAAAAAACCCAAACATAAATGAGCTATGGGATATGGAAAAATATCAAGTAACATATGTTTAATGTACATCTCAGAAGAAAGGAGGGAGAGCAGAACAAAAAGCTGTTGAAGAAATAGACTAAAATTTTACCAAAATCAATAGAAAACTATAAATGCAGAGATACATTAAGCTCAATAAATCCCAAACAGGTAGAACATGAAGAAAACCACACCAAAGCATACCATAATCTAATTCATGAAAATCACACAGAACAAAGTCTTTTTTAAACGCATTCAGAAGTAAAAGAATTCACTGCAGGCTGAAAAAGTCAACAGACTTGAAAGAAATGAAAAAGCCTTTAAGGATCACTTAAAGGATGAGGCAGGTGAGAAGGAGAAATAGGATAACTGCATTCCAAATGAGGGTAATAATGAGAAGACATGGCTTAAAAGAAAAGTTTAATTATAAAAGAGTAAGGTGTAAAGAAATATTTATCCCAAACACTGTTTAGAACAAAACCTTTTGCATTGTATTTTTATAAACTTCTTCTAGAAGGAAGTTACCATTCTTGGTTAAAATCTTAATCTATTTTGGATGAATTTTTAAAAGTTTAAGAAAGGTCTGGAAATTTGGCTATTACCTACCCAGCTGTCAGTCAGTCAAGAGTCTAAAGGTCTTTAGTCAGTATTCTTTACCTAGCCAGGTATTCTTTCCTTGCTTATCTAAGCACTCTCTGAATTGGCCTTGTTCATTCACCTGGCAGCAAGACTGAAATATTAATAAAACTTTGACATGGACTCATAACCAAAAACTTTTTTTAATACTAATGAACAATGAATATGGACATATTTACCAAAGCCTTAAAAAAAAAAAAAAAAAGAGTACTGGGATCACAATCTTTAGTATGAAGAAATGTAACAAGAATAAAAAAATAATGTACTTATATGTTCAGCTTTTCTCCTCTCATATTATCTAAAAACATGTTCAACCTCTACCTGTTTAGTTCCAGATTTTTTATTACACTCATCAGGATAATGGGTGGAAAAAACTGCAGACTAGGAATGTAACTTTAAATAAAGTTAGGAGTTTGTATACTGGAAGGAAAGAGAAATCTAGAAGAAAAGTTTAGGTCCAGAGAGCCTAAGAAGGAAAAAAAGGGGTTAAGGACCAAGTAGTCTTGGTTTAGGGATGGTGTGCTTTGTCTGATAACAAATCAGAGACTTTATTTTGAAGAACAGCAGCTTTGTAGAAAGCTAAGATGGGAAGGACAAAAATGGAAATGGGAAGAATTCAAGATTTTTTCCTGGGTATTAAGGATATATATATATATATTTGGGTTGTTTTTTTTTCCTTTTTTTTTGGTCGCATCATAGAGCATGTGGGATCTTAGCTTCTTGACCAGGGATCAAACCCACATCCTCTGCAGCGGTGGGCAGTCTTAACTACTGGACCACTAAAGTCTCAAAAATATACTCTTAATAACAGTAAACCAATTGGTTGATAGTAATTGCATGGCAAAAAAGACAAATATATCTTAAGTGCATATTAAATGTAAAGGAACAAAAACTAACTGCTCTATCATGTGAAGGCAAGACAGAGCAGGGGTGGGCAAAATAAGTGAAGGGGATTAAGAAGCACAAATCTCTGGAGACGGAAATGGCAACCCACTCTAGTATTCTTGCCTGAAAAAGTCCATGGACAGAAAAGCCTGGCAGGCTATAGTCCATGGGCTTACATGACTTAGCACACATGCATGAGGGTGGAGGGAGATGGGTTGGTAGCAATAAACTGGTAGAACTTTAAAAAAAAAAGAAATACAAATCTCTAGTTATATAATAAATAATTCACAGGGATATAACATAAGAAATATGTCAATAATACTGCAATAACTTTGTATCAGGATGATGGATGGTTATTGTTCTCTGGATCATTTCATAACATATATAAAAGTGTCAAACCATTATGCAGTACATCTGAAATATAACACTGTACATCAGCTATATTTCAATTAAAAAAAAGATAAGGCAGAGGAAGGCTGACACAGTAACAGATATATTATGTTATATATATTTTATATTTCATACACTGGCTCATAGAGACTTATAGAAAACATGCATAAATCTTGGAGATGAACAATTCTTCCTTGTTTATGTTAGGATTCATCACTGGGATTAAAAAGAACTTTTAAAAACCAATTTCTTTAATTTATTGATACATTTTAAATGAAATACTAATAAGAAAAATTAAATTTAAGGTCAAAATACAAACAGTGTGCCTGATGAGAAATACTTACGATGGTCGATCCTCAAGAATCAGGGCAGTGGTAGAAAGTGGCTCAAATTCAAAATTCTTTCGCCTTGAAGACTGAGGTGGTGGTTTATAGGCTCTCCCTGTCCTTGCTTCATATTCCTAGAGTAGATAAAAATATACGTATGCAGTGACTTTTCCAATTAAATCTGTATCATTTAAGATATTACGCTATAGTAAGGAATACATACAATTCATACATTAATTTGGTAAAAATATCAGATAAGCAAAAAAGTCACTTTTTTGCCCTGAAGCAATCTAAACTATTAATTTATGCAATATATAAAGTATGAAAGTATGTTAAAAGAGGGGAAGGTACAATGTACTAATTAGGTAAGGTTTAGGAAGATTTTCTTGTTTGCATTCTATGGTATCAGTTTCCAGTTTCCAAGTCTATGATATCACTTTCATTATTCAAAGTCCAGCTTTGAATAATCTACATCAGATAAGCCTACTTTCTAAACTTTCAGCCAGATCAATGATAAAAATATTGACACAAGAAACAGATAATCCTGTTTTAATGCTCTGAAGATCTCTTTCAAGTGTGACACTGAATCCCTAATCATACTGGTTTTGGATTTCAACATACTCTGAATCTCACTACTATAAATCTACCCACTTATTTTAAACTGAAACAACAATTCACCAACATATCTTACCCAAAAAAAGGCCAAAGACTCAAATATTTCACTAAAATTTTAAAAACTGTTACTATGGTATTTTCTCATTCAACTGAATTGATAATTCTCTTAAAAGAAATGACGTTGGTTTAACATGATATGTTTTTGTTGGACATATTTAAATTTCTACATTTGAGCATTTTTTCATAAATGTTCACAAGCTTCTGCTAAAATTTCTAGAAAGTTTCAGATCAATACCAAAATTGTGACTCATAATTTCCAGAACCCACATTATTCCCTTTCTAAAACAAAAAGAAATCTAGTATTTGATCATCTCCAGATAATAAATATATTTTTCATGGTATTTTCAATGGTTACTTATGAGTATATCTTCAAGTTCACTGTCAGATAAAGACATTAACTCAAATGAAGAAAATGAAATGCACTTAAAGTGATCAAGTGTTTCTCTTATTAACTAGCTGTTTTCCTACCATGGCATATAATTCTTTTAAATTACTATTTTTTCTAACTCGAAAACTGATTCTCACTACCGAATCTGATGGCTGCAAAGTACAAACGATGGTTCCATCCCTCTTAAAAATCTGATAATCTTGTTGAAGCTTCATCTTATTTGATATTACTTTAAAAAACAATTTATGATGTCAATCATTTTCTATAAACTTCAAGCTTTACTTCTGGTTTCTGCCACTGTTTACAATGGTTTGTACTATTCTTTTTTTTTTTTAACACTTTTTTTTAATGTGCACCATTTTATTGAATTCATTACAATACTGTTTCTGTTTTATGTTTGGGTTTTTTGGCCACCAGGCAAATGGTATCTTACCTCCCAGACCAGGGATTGAACCTGCACTCCTTGCCTTGTAAGGCGAAGCCTTAGCCACTGGACTGACAAGGAAGTCCTTAAACTATTCTTTTATAACTGTCTTTAATTCTACATCTCCTCTTCCTTCCACCAAATCTAAGCTGTTAGTCTGAGAGTTCCTTTGCATGACTGCATTGGATTTTTAGAGACTTCTTTCTCAAATTATTTAGAACTTTGTATGTTCATTTTTACTAACTCCCATCTCAAAGAACTGTACAGCCTTTCAGTGTCAAAAACAATGGAGTCACTCATTTCTTTTTTGTTTTCAAAATTTTCTAATATCTAGGATATACATGTTATTATGATCAACATTTCTTTTCTTCATTACAAACTCAAGTGTAATCCCCTTTTCTGCTAATGTTTTTCTTATTAAAAACCATACATGCTAATACATATGAGGTTTGTTATCACTTACATGGCACTTTGTTTTCCTACAATGTGACCTGGACTCACTGCCAGACAGAATGCAATGAATACTACCCAATAAAGCATGTTCCATGCAAACAAATGCCAGTACACAGAGAGTAAAATAAAACTCCTAAGTCAACATATTAAAAATAACAACTAGCATTTACTGACACTGACAACATACCACACAGTGTTTTAAACACTTAACACATTTAATTCTTGAAACAACCTTGTGAGGCACCTAACTCACAGCAGAGGAAACTGAGGCACAAAGATGATATTAGCAGACAGTCAAGTAGCTATCTATAATAATTTAAAATGATGAGATAAATGAAATCATTTAGTGAGAGGCTAATAGGGAACTTTAAAATGGGAGGCTGAAGCTAACAATACCTCAGTCACCAATCCATCTACACATTATTTTAAAAGACCACCAGACAGTATGCGTTTCCTGATGCAATGTGAAGTACATATCATCATTCTTGAAGTATTCTTGCCAAAAGAAAAATCAAACAAATATGATTAAGTCCCTAGAACTGTACTCTCCAATATGGTAGTCAAAAGACATGATAACCAAATAAGTCATATTATGGTCAAATATACATAGAAAAACATCAAGGAATTTGAACAATTAAGTTTCCCTCTGGAGGGTTGGACTAGAAGGGCACTTGTCTTACTTTACTCAGTGTTGTCTGACTTTTCTTACAAGAAATAAAGTAGCTTATTTATGAGAGGCCATTTTGTATAAAGTTACTGTGGATCACTGACAAAGATTTTACTTAAGAGCTGGGATCAGAACTTAGGCAAAAATGATAGGCATTAATTAGACAGAAAGACTTGGAAAGAACAGGTGAGGGGGAACAAGCAAAAGTGTGGATTAGGGAAATATTAATCTCAATGAATATGAAAAAGGATGGGAAATAATGTATAGACTAAATTACAGGGCCTTTCACTGGCAAAAATACTTGGAATTCATGCTGAGCAAACTGGAAAGCCACTAAAGACAGAACAAAAGGTGAAATCTTTTATTAAAAATTAACTAAGTACATGTTTAATATAAAAGGCAACACAAAAGCAAGTTCACCAATATCATTTATGTATTCACCTTACAAAGGAGCTTTATACAGAATTGTCACTCAGATATTTTTCACATGAGAAGAAGAAAGAATTTATATTTGAGTACTTCCTATCACAGATGTTTAGTATAAAAATGCTTTAAATTTCTAGAGGGTGATTTTTTTTAAAAGCTTAAAACATGGTATTAATCCATCCTCATCTGAAAATAGGATAGATTTATACATTTTTAATGATGCAAATATTTGCCAAATAAAGGTGCTAGTCTAACATGATTAAAAGTACAAATTGTATAAGAAATAGTAAAATATCAAATATCAGTACTTTCAAAAGTAATCACAAAGTGATATCAAATACATTTAAGCAAATGAATTAGACCACAGGACTAATATTCCGTATATTTGCATCTCTATAACAACAATTCTCTATAACTTTGGTTTCTGTTTGACCAAGAGTACCAGTCAGAGACTAACCTGCTCCACCACTCTCTTAGCTACACCTTTCTCCATGTGTGGGCTTCATCTGGAGACTGGCTTGTTGATCAGAGAAATGACTGTAGCAATGCCAACTGTCACATCCTTAGAGCACAACTTTCAAAGATCCTCTAGCTGTTCTTCTAACAGCAACTTTCACAAAAGAAAAACAAAGTACCCTTCCTGGAAGGTCCCAGTAAACACTTCATTCAACATGCAATCACAATGACCTAAGAAATAAGCTTTATCAGTGAATTAAAGTTAATCAGGGCCTATTGCTGTAGCTGAGGAAAATCACATAATTCTTAAATCACTCAATTCGAGGACAACAGAGAGAGAGAATAGTGTTCAAGTTATTGATATGTAGTTGATATCCACAAGACATCATTTAAAAATACAACCAAATAGTACATCATGGGGAGATTCCTGAAGCCATTTTCACTTTAAATCCATGTGTGTCATGTCATAAAAATCCCCTGTATATTCCTTCCATAGAAGTTTAATAATGTGGAGAAGGAAATGGCAACCCACTCCAGTATTCTTGCCTGGAAAAGTCCATGGACAGAGGAGCCTGACGGGCTGAAGTCCATGGGATTATATGACTGAGCATGTGTGCACGAGGGTGGAGGGAGATGGGTTGGTAGCAATAAAGTGGTAGAACTAAAAAAAAAAAAAGAAGTTTAATAATGAACAAAATATTGATAATTTTATAAGTCATAAAGAAGCCTTACAATATTAAAAAATGACTGGAAATATCATAGTCCAAGGATATCAGTATATAATGCTAGCTACAGAACACTCACTATCTGAAAATACCGCATCAATCTCCTCATTTCCTAACAACAAAGGTTAATTTTTTTTTTCTGCCACACTATGCAATTTGTAGGATCTTAGTTCCCCCCAGGGACCAAGGATTGGACCAGGGCCCCCAGCAGTGAAAACAGAGTCCTATCCACAGACTTCCAAGGAATTTCCAAGGTCAGTTTTAACTGATTTATTTTGAGTTGTTGGAGCTACCTACCAATGGCAAGATAAGAAGCATCTAGTTTTTCTCTTAGGAAATATCTTTCTATGAGATATTGCAACGAAGCTTGTTTATTTTGTCAATTTAACTTATTTTTCATCTTTCACTCAACTATTTTTCTATGAAAGCTACTTAATTGGATAACTAGAATAGAAGATGAAAACAATCCTAGAGGCAGGCTAGCAATATCTGTAGGATAATTTATTCTAGCTATTGGTGGCTCAGATGGTAAAGCATCTGTCTACAGTGTGGGAGACCTGGGTTCAATCCCTGGGTTGGGAATCCCCTGGAGAAGAAATGGCAGCTGACTTCAGTACTCTTGCCTGGAAAATCCATGGATGGAGGAACCTGGGTCGCAAAGAGTTGGACATGACTGAGCGACTTCACTCACTTCTATTTTAAGAAAATTGGAGGCAAATAGGCAATTAATTCTAAGTCTGGTCAAAAGATGGTAAGCAACTGATATCATCTCCATAAGCACAGAGTAGAAAAAATTACTTATTATTCCAAGGCAAAGAAATACTAGATTCACATAAATGAAAAAGATGTTTTTCCTCAAAATAATCTCTTAGAAAAGAGAACATATTTGCTTAACATCTCTCATATTATGGGTGATTTCT